ATAAATTATTGATATCAAGAATAATATTTTTTACTAGTAGAAATGTAATTGCTGATATCAAAAATTCAATTTCTGCGAGTGATGATGTCATTGTTGATATCAAGAATTAACATTGTTACTAGTGGAAATGTAGTTGCTGATATCAAAAATAGCCATTGTTACTAGTAGAAATCTAATTCCTGATATCAAGAATTAACATTTTAACTAGTAAAAATTGAATTGTTGATATCAAGAATTCATATCCTGAGAATGAATAAAAGTCAAAACGGCTTGCCATACTCCTCTGGATTTGTTGCAAAGAAACATCAAACACCACACCGTGCCGCAGCAGAACGCAAACTCTTCCGAGTCCTACATTAATAAACCAGACATCATTAATTTTTAATTCTCTGCTGAAATCTAATTTGTGTCTATTTTATAGCTCGATAAGAATAGGAGCTTGAGGGTTGTTTAGATTCTTCTGTGCTATTCGAGGCACTACTTCATGGCCCATTACACACCTCCTATAGGAGGCATCATGAAAACTGATACAGCAAATAAAACTTTTGAACTGAAATTGAACCTTCTTGGGTCAGGATTTGTGGTTGTAATACAGATGAAAGCACATTTGAACTGCTAAATGGAATTATGTATAAATATGCAAATCACTGATGCAGTCTATTTAAAGAAGTGTTCATTTTAAACCCTGATATACAGTATATAAAATTTTTTTCCCCATTTATTTAATTATTTTCTGCAGTAACCAGCCTGCATCACATTTTCTGAAATCCGATACATGTTTCTAACTAATTTTTTGGCACTGATTCCATAAATAGTGACATTGCTCTAGCATGACACACTTCCTCATTAAATATGATATGCATTTTGTAGCATTTTTGATTTCAAAAACCATTTGTAAAATGAAGAAATCATAAAAACTGCCACAAAGGCATGATTGCTATCTTCGTCTGAGTCAGGTTAAAACTATTTGTTTTGTGAGGGAAAAAATAATGAAATATCTTCTTCTTCTTCTTCTTTTAAACTGTCTGTATGTGTTATAAAGTTATTACTGATATTTTTGAACTCAGCATCATCAAACTAGGTAATATTGGGCCTTTTTGCAGGCTTTTGCTAATAATATTTTATAATACTATTTTGTTGCAATCACCTAAAGCAAAGATGTTCACTTGAAAACTGAGAAATTACTAAACAAATATCTGCCCTGTTGTCAAACTGGTCAATTTGGACACACTTTTTGCTTCAAAACAAACGTCACCTTCCTGTTCCTGTTGTTTGTTTGTTTAAGCCTGGTGAAAAGAGCACTCAATAATGGCTTATGTGCTCTAGTTGTTTAAAGTTGTGTTTATCTCCAAGTGGTGTATGGATGTGTGTTTCAGTTGAGTGGAATTATGGGAACACAAGGGAGAAGGACGGGTGATTTAAAAGTGTGTAGTGCAGTGTTCGGGTGTCCCGTGATGACCTGTCGCTTTAATAAGCAGCCGATTCTGTCATGAGTGATTTGTCACTCACCTGAGAAGAACAGATTAGACAATACCATGAAAAACAACTCCACCTAAACTCACATTTGGATATTATAGATATAGTCATCCCCTGATGGAAGCAGAGTTTCATTAAGTTGATAATTATCTGGTTACATACAGTAATTGTGTTGGTTTGAATAGAGAATAGATATTTATATGAGTAACTACTAGTTGGTACAGTAATGTATTTTTATCTGCAAGTTTATTTAAACCAGCTGAAGGTTCGCATGCCCAGAGCGCATGCGCCACAGTGTGCTTGGCAGACTGGGTGAGCTGTTAAATTTGTTTGTTTGCTGATTAGTCTTCATGCTGTCAGCTTGGCTGAGGGGGTAACACTCACTCTAATTTCTGAAAACAGCTACATTTATCCCATTCGGTCTCATTCCTGCATTAAGAGCCTCAGAGACCCCTTAAATTCACCAGATTATATCCAAATTAAAGGATTGCCCATGATCTGCAGTTCACTCTTTTTATTTTTCTCTCAGTATTTGTTACTGCTAGTCATTTATGGATCTATGTTCTCATTTTTTCCCAGTTATTTAAGTAAAAAAAAATAAAGAAAGAAACCTCATGATGAATGAATCCTCTGAATTCATTTCTTCATTCATTGTAGAATGTAGAGACATTTGTGTACAATGTTTTGCTTCATAAATTGGTCATAAGCTTGAAAAATATGCCATGCACAATAAACCACACACTGAAAATTTTAAAATAATACAAAAACAAACAAACAAATAAATAATCAACTGAGATGCTCAAAAAAACACTGATGTAATTACAGTGAGAGTGCTGTTGAACATACTCTGAAATTATATTTCAAAACCATTTCATTATCAACAAAGGCATGATCACTTATTGCAACAGAAAGCGTGTTAATGCTGATGTGTGAAACACCCTCCCCAAAATAACATTCAGTCTGTCCTTTATGATTATGTTTTATGCCTCTGTACCCTCACATACCCTGTGTGTGTCGATGAACTATTAATATTGTTCTGAGTAACAAATATTCAAATATAAAAAATACAAATGATTTCGGTAAAAACAAGCGTGCCTGGGTTTAAAAGAGGTGGAAACACCCGCAATGGCACAAGAGAGAAGTTCATGCAAAGAGAACCGTATATATTAATCTATACACGACGCCAAACAAATAAACAGTCATAGAAAAGACGCAATAAATCAAACAAGAAGTACACCTTCTCATTTTCCCTCCATTGCTGGTTCTTCAGATCTTCCTTGCTGGCGTTGAGTGGCTTTGTTGGCTATAAAATGTATTTTGGGCATATGATCAGTCAAGGATTGAAAATGGAATGGATGTAGATGTGAAGGAAGTGAATAAAACATGTAATCAATCTTCCCTCGATTACATACATCATCCCATTTCCATGCAAGATATAAATATAGCTTATTTCTCTGGAAAGACAGTCAAGTTGTGCGTCAGGTGCTGAACTGGACAGCTCCTTTGAACGAGCAGCTCATAGATGCCTATGAAACAGGGGCTTCTGTTTGTTGATGTCGTGATGAAATCTCACACCCAGACCCACGGCGTCTACGAGACGAATGGCTAAATGACCAGAAATCTTGGGAGGCTTTCTTCACAGCACCGGTTTGGGATGGGTTTAAGTTGGAGAATTGCCAGCATCTTCAAATGTCGCTATTTTAACCCATTGTCCAGAGTGGCTCTTCATCCTTCGTCCTATACTCATACACTGAACCATCATCTTCACCTCTCGTTCACATGCACAGGCGACAAGTGCTTCAAACCGGTGATTAAAAGAAAAGGTTGACGAGGTATAATCGTTCAAGTTTACATGCCGGGAGATGACTTGTCTGTCATCCCATTGAGAACTTCGTCTATTCTGTCATCTTCAATGACCACTGTGGAGAGAGGACACAGATGTTTAGTAGAGCTTTTAAATAGCATGCATAAAGGCAAGAAAAGTGGCATTTATCTATTTGTGTCAGCAGGAAAATGCTGTTTTTAAATGTATGTACACTATATAAAATTTTAATGGAAAAACCATGCTATAAAAACAAAATACTGTAACTGGTTAACTGTAGGTTCCCTCATCATATAGCCTACATTGGAAAATATTTCAACTAGAAATATAAATGTAAGTTTTTTTTTTTTTTTTTTACGTATGTACACTATGAAACCCATAATTTGAATGGAAAAATAATGATATAGACAAAATACACAAAAGACAATGCATGCATGTTTACTGTAAAATGTAAATTCATATTGCTTATTTGTATATTCCAAGAGTGCTCTCCATGTTGCATCAGATTTAATTTTCTTCTTTTTTAAAGCGTATATTTTACAGTTTCTTCAGATTTATTTCTTCATATTCATATTTATGCTTTTTTTTTATTACTATTACTGTTTTTGTCTCATGTGTTTACCTGATGTTAATTTGTGTTTGTGTGCGTAACCTTGTGCTCTGTTTGTCATGTTTATTAGTCATCGTTACAGGTAAGTTCAATTTTGATATGTTATGGTGATTGCATATAGTACACATTTATTTTTTAAAGTTATTAACCCGCTTGATACCTACCGTGTTTTGCCCTGCCAATCTGCCCGAGTTTCGGTGGCCTTTTGGACTGTGATGTTCCGAAGAACGAGTTCGTGTCTTGCAGTCGACAGCTGAAGGAGAGCTGACTGACATCACTGTCCGCCCCGTAGCCGTTCATATTCCCCTCGTTGTATGGCAGCACTTCGGACATGGCTATACTCAAGTTCCCAGCTAAGGTCGTGGGGAAAAGCGAATATTATTTGTAGGTAGTTATGGATAAAGTCTTTCTAAACTACTACTTTTTTTTACTCAGTGTCGGAAAATACAGTCCAGCTAAGACCCTGGAACAACTATCAGCAGGTCCAGTCGTGCTGCTCTCCTGACCGAACCGTCGGTTGTACCGGAGAGAGGAGGGATACGTCCGCCTGCAGATGAGCTCTTGTGAGAAATACAGGGAGATCCCGAGACCATAAAGGAAACCCAAAAGTGAAGTCATTCATCCGGGTTTGAAGGGGGAGGGAGTAGGGAGAAATAAATAAATAAAGATGCGCGAGTGAAAGACAGTAGCTGAACAATAGCTTACTATAGTAAGACGTTTAACTAGGAATTAAACTAGTAGGCTTATCTATTTTACTAGTACCTATTACTAGAAAGTAATCAATTATTGACTAGTATCTCTTAATTTCATTGTTTACTCCAAAATAAATTATTCATTTGTGTTTCCTTATTCCGCATCCCAATAGTTCCAAGTAGCTAACCAATTGCAAATATGTGGTTCAGATGACTATTTATTTCCAATATGTATTCAAATTGTTGATGACACCCAGTTTTACTAACTAGTAGCCATTAATCAGCTCTTGTCTGCTTTTAAGTATTTAGTAAAGTAACAAGAATGACAATTTGACTAAAATATATACAAATAAAACCAGATATAGCAGCGCTTATTTATTTATTTATTTATTTTACTTATCAGTGAATTCAGAATCACATTATCTAAAATACACAACTTAAGACTAATCCCAAATGTTATGCCAAAGCACTGAGCAAATATGGATAAATATGTAAAAAGCTGCTGACCATCCTGGCGTTGCTCTGTTGTCTCCTAGTTAAAAACCTTGAGTTATCTTTTGGCTCCCTCCGCTGGGCATTTTTAATACATCCTAGAGCTTGTATAGTAGCAAAAAAAAAAAATCTGATGAAAACATGACAATCCAACTCTCTTTTCAAACTCATGTCAGCCAGCACTGACGGCTTCCAACAGATCTAACTTTTGCCTTAAAGGGGTCATAGGATAATACATGCACTTTTACAAGTTGTTTGAACTGAAATGTGTGTTGGCAGTGTGTGTACACAACCACCCTATAATGATAAAAATCCACCCAGTAGTTTTTTTTAATCTAGTTAAATGTTTTCCCCTTTCTCAAATCGAGCCGATCTCAGATGCCTGTCTGTGTGACGTCACA